AAACCATTTCAGGTGACTACCTCTTGAAGCTCATGGAGAGAATGCCAAGAGTGTGCAAAGCAGTAATCAGAGCAAAGGGTGGCTATTTTGAAGAAACTAGAATATAAAACATGTTTTCAGTTATTTCACCTTTTTTTGTTAAGTACATAACTCCACATGTGTTCATTCATAGTTTTGATGCCTTCAGTGAGAATCTACAATGTAAATAGTCATGAAAATAAAGAAAACGCATTGAATGAGAAGGTGTGTCCAAACTTTTGGCCTGTACTGTATATGAATAGTAAAAGTCAAACACATATTAAGTAATGTAGTAAGAATGTGCAGGTATGTTACACTACAAATAAAAGTAATGTGAATGTAAGGCTGCCTCACGTACAGACAGAATATAGTGCCAGCAGCTGCATAGCTGTAAATATATTTAACAACAAACATCTGCCAGCAACAGAGAGCTGTGTGTGAAGGGGTTAATATGCATACTGGTGACTAGTTCAATAGACAGGTCACTAATAATAGGCTTGGGACTGTTTATTAGAAACAACAACATACATGACGACATAACAGCGACAGAGCTCTCCAGCACCTCCGACGGTATGCACGACTCTGGCGAGCTTGACGAGAGGAGATTGGCTGCATCTCCGAAGTACAACAACATAAAATATTCAAATGTGGCGCTACGGACGGCAGCGGAAGTGAGCAAGAGGGTCGGAGTTCAGGGAGCGATGTGATGGCGGATGTAGTGTGTCCCAATAGTATGCATACTGCATGCACACTGCATACTACACTACATACTTTTTAAGGGCAGCAGCAGTACATACTAAAAGTATATAGTAGAAGTATACGATTTGGAACGCAGGGTTGGTTTGCACCTTCAACACCTCCACAGCACACCTGACACACACCCATGCACGGCTTTCATAAATGACTTTGCTGACCTACACACTCCATTTATTATTTAAGTTAATTTTAGTTTAATAAATTCGACTTGTTTTAAGTAAATCTTTTGTGTGGACTCCCTTCTTGTCACATTCACTGAGCCAGTTTGTGACAGGTGCATGTGCCCTTTGTAAATAGACCAGACTGGCACATACATCACTAAACATCAGGCTTCCCTTGTTCCAAGAGTATCAGTGAGTAATAGATGGAAGTTATTTTCCTTTACATTAGACATGTTTTATTGTTTTTTTTTTTTTTTATGAACATACTTCTGTAGATTAAATTTTAGACTTTTTAATACGTCAGGGCTTTTTATGAGGAAACTGAATCCTTTCTTAGTTTTTGATTAAGGTCTATACTATACTACTTTAGATTAAAAATGTTCCTAATGACTAATTTTCCTGGCTTTTAAATAGCTGATGAGTCAAAGTAAATAACAATTCAGGAAAGTCAGAATTGAGCACAATTTAATCTGTAAGGTATTGTCAGATAAAATACTACGTATATGATGACAGCCATTTACAATTGTTAATCATATTTTTCGATAACCAAAACTGTATTTTAAATGCAGCTGAAATGTGGCACTTTGCACATCATCCTACAAACCATGACAATACTGCCAACAATTATTTATTACATCACATTTTTTCTGTATTTCCCAGCAGTATGACAATTCTCAGTAACAGAATAAATTTAAAATAATTTAAAATGAATCAATTGTAATTGTAAGCCAGCTTCTGAATCTTGACATATTTTGAAAATAGTTAATTTGTCGATTGTGAACAATATTTTTTAGAAGAATAAATCATTTAAAGATGTGCCTAATCATTACAGTGGCATTTTCATTGAGTGAACACAGGTGCACAAAATAATAATTTTAATAACACGATTAACCGATTAGTGTTTCTGGTGCCGTAGGCAGCAACGTTTAATCGACTAATCACACACATCAATTTAGACTCTATTAAAGCTCTGTCCAATCCGACCTGGTGTCAGTGCAAGAGGAAAGATGGTGAGTGAACGGATCAAAGCGATGACAATGGATTGTGGTTTCCAACATCATAATTTAATTCTAGTTCAACTACAGAACAGCTCTAAACAACAACTTCAACTGGTTCATGCATTACGCAACATCTACAGCAAAATCAGCCTGGATTCCCTCAGGCGTCACAGGACCGAGACCTCAGCTTCAATTAAATCTGATCCCAGTGCAGCAATACTTCAGGGAACCTCGCAGCTTATTGAGTCTACTCCTTCTACCACAATAAAATGACCAACACGAACACTTCGTACCATCATCACAAATTATATATATAAAAAAACAGAAAAAAAACTTGACCATAAGAAAAAGTATTTTAAATTATCATCAGCTTGTCAAAACACACAATAAAAACCACTGGATTCCATTCCTGAATGGCGCCATTTGAAAATGAAGCAAGAAAATAATTAAAACAACCTGTACATGTCAGCTGGTACTTTTTATCAGTTTTTAAGCAGTAGAAAAAACAGCATTTTGGTTTTTAGGTGCGTCTCATCATTACAGATACAAAAAAAGTAAAATAAAGTTTATCTGGGTGGCATGAAAAATGACTTTTGACCCTGTGTGATGCAGCAAAACAGAATACAAGCCATCAGATTCATCTTCAGCAACAATACCCAGGAGGGCTACAGTGGTCCCTGATAATCCTGTAGTCCTGGTACACATCGCCCCCTGGAGTATTAAGGCTTTCATTACACAAAGTAAACAGAAAAAGAAAAGTTGTTCCCACTATGAGAAAACGAAGAAAAGCAAACAAATCTATTGTTTTATTTTTCATATTGATGGCATACTCCAGCTATGGAAGAAAAAAATGATCACAACTGTAATTTCAATCTCAGCAAGCAACTCAGCAACTGAATACCTCATTCTGATATTGAATCATTGGTAAATACTTAATGTTGACATTTAAATATCACTTAATTTGTAATTTATAACATTTTATTTTGAAAATCCCAGACAAATTTCCAGAATCTATATTCCTGGCTAAAAACCCAGAGAGACTATGTGTGTTTGACCAATCAAATTTCAGCAGCAGATTTTATTTTATTTTTTTAACTGAACTTAACTGAACTAAAAAAAAAAAAAACTTGAAATCTGAGTTTTTGAAATTGTAGAGCTTGAGAAAAAGAAGGAAATCTAAACCCCGAACATTCAGCTAGATGTCATATTTAAATGTCATCATTAAGTTTTCAGGATGTTGTTAAATTTTTCAGAATTGGGTATTAAATAGCTTTTACTTCCATGATCCTGACTAAATCTAAAGACAAACAAAAATACATAATCAGCCTGCGTCCCACAGGGCTTAAAGAAAAAGGGACAATCTGTGTTTTTCCCAGCTTGTATGTGGATGGTCCAAAGTGAAGATACAATCAGAAAAATAAGGTTCGAGTTTCCTGCCGGAGGATCCACAGTGTTTCAGAGTCTGAGAGGACGGCAGCGTCACGACAAACACAAACGTTTTCGCTCCGCCTGATGGGAAACATAAAATCATATGCAGACAAAAAAAATAAAAAAATAATAATAATCAAACATGGAGGAAAATCTTCAAAATAAGGCCCCTTTCAGAAATTCAAAAAAATAATTTTTAAAAAAGGGAAAAAAAGAGGCACCAAAAAGTTGAGATATCAAAAACGTAGTCAGTCTGTGTGGTACGAAAAATTTAAACTTGTATTTTGTAAAAACATGAGAGAGAGAACAAAAACAGAAGAAGAGCAGCTACATCATCCTAGAGGACGTTCCTGATGGGAAGTGACCAAGGTGCTGCTTCTGTCGCCGTCCACGCTTTGTCTTGGTGCACCTCCTGCAGGACAAAAAAAGGAAGTACACGTCAACAACATTGAGCTGCAGGTGCTCAGTAACAATTAACTAAAACCCCATCCCTGGTGTGCGACATCGCGTTCCCTCTCCAAGGTTGGATTCCTGTGCTTGTTTGACTGTGTGCGTGCATCTAAAAGTGAGTAAATCCCATCTCATATGTACTGATGGATGAAGTTGATGAGGCGTAATCCTCATGTATGAGTTTGTGTATATGTAGATTAATTTCTGTTTCTTATCCATCTCAGTTAACAGGTGTAGCGACCGCAGGTGGCTTTAACCGTGCAGTTTATGTTGTTGATGTATAACCTTTGTTGAATTAGCGATGCAAGTTAACATGCGCACCAGTGCTGTTGATTAACGGGCGAGAGACCATAAGTAGGTCAAATTGCAGTGCACCCGCTGCACCACTAGAAGGAGCTATATCGTATTTGTTTACTGTTAGTTGCACATAATAAGAAGCTAATGTCGAGTGTATTGGTCTAAATATATCACTTTGCTCTGCAATGTCTTTTACTGTGATTTGCATGTATCGACCTCCCTCAGCAAAGGATGTATTTTATGATCATCTTGAGACAATTTTAAATCATTGCAACTCTAAAAAGGAAATCATCCTAATAGGTGACTTTAATATCAACTGGGACATTAAGTCAGATAGGAAAAAAATTAAACAGCTTACGGATAAGTACAATTTGACACAAATTATAAAAGGACCAGCAAGAATAACAAATACGTCAAATACAACAATTGATCTAATATTTACTAATAAACCTGAAAGAATTTCTAAGACTTTTAATCTATTATCTGGCCTGTCAGATCACAATTTTATCCTGTGCTCAAGGAAAATTAAGAGGAAGCACTTAATGGCATCCATCAGAGGTCACCAATACTATTTCATACCCAAAAGCCAGCAACAATTCCTGAATTAGGAAATCCAAAATGTAGATTGGTCTAATATTCTGGAAAATAATGACACTGAGGTTAGCTCAGATAATTTTATTTAAAAAAGTCAATGACATTATAATGCATTTTACAAAAAAAAGGTAAATCCAAGCAACATAGAAATAATCTGCCCTGGTTGAACAATGAAATTATAAAATTAACGAAAAATAGAGATAACATTCTAAAGCAATCTTTAAAAACAAGAACTACAAGTGATAAATTTTTACATCACTACGAAACAAAGTCTTAAGGATGACCCGTAAAGCGAAAGCAGAGTTCTATATTGAGACCATTAAAGGGGCTAATGGTAATGGAAAGCTAATATGGAACAATCTAAATAAGTTATTGAGACGGGACAAATCTAACTATCTTAGTGATCTACAGCTCCAGGTAAATGATGAGCTAACTGACAATCTAGACATTATTGTGAATTATCTCAATAGATTTTTCATTAGCTCAGTTGAGGAACTCACAAAGCACTTTAAATGCTCACATATTCCTCACAATCCTGTTGATGCAAGTAAACCAATATTTAGTATAGAAGAAATATCTGTCCCTGATGTAATAAAAATAATTTCATCCCTAAAAAGCTCAAAGGCCAGAGATACATTTGGTCTTACTAGTGACTTTTTAAAGACCCATAAAGAGGCTCTTGCTGACCCAACTGCACATCTTGTAAATCTATCCATAAAACAGGGAACATCAACATGGAAGATTGCTAGGGTCACCCCAGTCTTTAAGGCTGGGGACAAGACAAAATCTGAGAACTATCAACCAATAAGTGATTTTACCTAGAATTTCCAAAGTAGCAGATAAATGGGTTACCACAAAACTGACAGAACACTTAAATAATGGCCACGCCACTCTTCATCCAATGCAGTTTGGATTTAGCTGATTGACCTGTTCGCCTGTGATTTCCTAGAAAACTTAAAGAGCTTGTTGGATCAGGGCGGCTTTGTAGCTGCTGTATTTCTTGATTTAAAGCGTGCTTTTGACACAATTAATCATGATGTGCTTATTGCTAAATTAACTCATTTCAACTTCTCAAATAGCGCCCTCTGCTGGATGAAATCATACCTGTCGGACAGAAAACAGGCAGTTCAAATTGGTGATTTGCTGTCTTCATACCTCACTTGTTCTGCCGGAGTACCACAGGGCTCAATACTGGGTCCTGTTTTATTCAGCCTATATGTCAATAACTTACCAAATGTCTGTAGAAATATAAAAATGCAACTATATGCCGACGACACTGTATTATACTGTCATCAATCAATAAATCAATCAATTTTATTTATAAAGCCCAATATCACAAATTGCAATTTGCCTCACAGGGCTTTACAGCATACAACATCCCTCTGTCCTTTGGACCCTCACAGCGGATAAGGAAAAACTCCCCCAAAAAAACCCTTTAACGGGGGTCATGCCAACTCAATCCAAGAAGCTGCTGCAATACTGTCAGGAGCCATGGTGCCAGTGTCCCACTGGCTCCAAAACTGTTGTCTACATTTGAATACAAAAAAAAACACAAAACAAACAGTCTGTATGTTTTTCTCCCAACAGCCAACAGAGGGACAGCAACCATCAGTCATGGTGGGTGGAGAGAGACTTGATGTGGTTGAACACTTTAAGTACCTCGGGGTAATCTTTGATTCTAATCTTAATTTTAGGCAACATGTTAAAAAGTCACAAATACAATTAAATTTAACTTATCAAATTTCAAACATATAAGACCTTTCCTGACTATGGAGTCAGCGAAGATCTATATGCATGCAATGATATTTACTCACATTTCCTACTGTTATACAACATGGTCACATACATCAGAGAGTACTCTAAAACCAATCAAGTCTCTCTTCAAGAGAACACTGAAAACTCTTGACAAAAAACCTATACATTACCATTATTGTAAAATTATTAATAAGTACAAAATCTTGGACTTTGATAGCTACCAGTTGTTTTTGGATGTCTGTCTCATCTTTAAGGTTTTGAATGGACTAGCTCCTCCACTATTACAGGACTTCATAAAGAAAAAATCTTCCAGAGTAAACGCCAGAGCACTGACGAGAGGGGACTGTGATGTACAATGGCGCAGGACTATACTTGGCCGAATGGTGGTGTCCATCAGAGGAACACAGTCTTGGAACACAATGCCAGCTCATGTTAGAAACGGGGACAATTACACCACCTTTAAAAAGACCCTTAAACAGTGGTTGAAAATAAGCCAGACCTGCTCTCATAGGTAACCTCCTCGTCTTTTCTATTTTGTGTATGGACTTTTAACCTTTATGTGAATCGGGACTTATTTTTTGTGTAAGATTTCTACATGTCTTATCCATTTGTCATGGTGTATTATCTGTATGTTTTTTATGATACCTGCCTTAGGATAACGGATGAAATTTAGCAACTGTGCTAACTCCAGCATATTTATATTGATGCTTTTTGCTGATATGCTGATTAATGTGCATTGTCCTAATCAAATAAATAAATAAATAAATTGGGTTTGAATGCTATTTACCTAATTTAGTATTTGATGCTTATGTTGTTTGAATGTCACTTATGTACAGCATTTATTAATTTGCTTTGTTTTATTCATTTCAGAAACCACACAAAATTCAAGTATAAAAGAGAGTGTGTGGACTGAATAAAGACACTTAAAAGACATCCAGTCGTTGTTCTTGTCAGACACTGCAGTGGACCTGGCATCTATTCACCTCCCTTTCACAAACAAGTTTTTTCACCTACCGTCACCACAGCTTGTGAAACAGAGTACGGACAGAATGGCTCCATCTGTCTGCGTATCTAACACTGAGCATAATGGTGCCCTTAACTAACCAAAATCATCACATGTTTTAACCAGATCTGCCTTCAGTGTTAAACTATGAAGGTTTAGTTAACTAGATTTACATTACAGTTTACAACAATACCTCAAATGTTGCCAAATACAAGAAGAATGTTGTGTAATGGGGTGTATTTCCCTCTCACTGTAAACTGCACTATCACTACTACTACTACTTTTAACACATATTGGGGTTTTTTTTCCATGTGTGCAGATAAAATGAAGTCATATATTCATTTAAACAGGATTTTCAGGTAAGTTTAATAATTGTTTCCTGTAATGTTTGTAAATTCTGCTACAACTTGTGACACTACAGCTACTTCCTTTGATGGTAGCAGTGGTGGTGTTTGTGGTATGAACAGTAGTGATGAGAGTACCTGGTGAAGCACATGACCACAGCTACGATGACAGCGATCTGAACAGCTCCAATGATAGCAGCAATGAGGATGTAGTGCAGCTTCTGACCACTGGGCACCACATACAGGATGTTGAAGTCCAGAAGCTGATCACACTGAGGACCACCATAAGCTGCCTCACATCTGACACACACAAAAACATTGGCATGAATTTGTCTGGATTGTTAGTAAGCCATAAAAAAGTGATGCACAAGTCATAGTATAGTATGCTCTAAAATATCATTAAGGAATGCATAATGTCATTAAAAAAGGTCAATTTAAAAAAATCACATTACAGCATACACTAAAAAATATAACAAAGGAATGCATACAGTCATTAAAAAAGTACATTTATTTAAAGTAATAGTATAGTATGCCATAACAAATATGAAAAAGTCATTGTATAGTATGACATAAAAAAAGATAATATAAAATAATATAAATAATATATAATAATATAAAATATATGCCAGAAGGTCATATAAAAAGTCTCAGTCTGGTACATAGTTTCTCATAGTGTGGCCCTACTTTTAATACCATAAGTACATTTTCCTTGTTATACTTGCAAACTTTTAATTAAGTAACATTTTTTAATGCAGGACTTAGACTTGTAATAGATTATTTTCACAATATGGGATTAGTACTTTAATTTAAAGATCCAGTGTGTAGGATTAAGAGTCATTTATTGGCAGAAATCTTATATATTATTCATAACTATGTTTGCTTTGTTTATGATCATCTGAAACTAAGATTTATTAGAATGAGCCGTTTATATCTACATATAGAGCAGGGTTTTCTTCCAGGGAGTCCACCATGTTGTTGTACAGTAGACCAGAATGGACAAACCAAACACTGGTTCTAAATAGGGCCATTCACATTTTCATGTCAGCCACTATAGTTCTCCCTACAGGTTTGGCACACAGGAGAAGTTTCAGTTCTGCAACCTCACAGTTAGATACCACTAAATCCTGCACACTGGACCTTCATGTACAGGAGCTGAATACTTGCTCCTGACTGTGAATTGCGCTAAAATGGAAGAGTGGCCTAAAATTAAGTTTTAACTCTTTAACAGCCCCAACTTCCTTGTCTCTGCGGAGCACTCTGATTGGTTGAAGACAGACAGTCGGGTGTTACCTGCAGGTGGGCAGGTTGTGTCTCATCTCACATTGGCCGTGTTCACAGAACTGGGCGTAGTCTTCAGAACAGGGGGTGTGGCTGTCCACAAACCCCTCACCCTCACCAGGCTTGGACACAGCTTGGGAAAAAAAGGAAGATAAACGCTGGTTTCTCATTGGCTCTTACAGAAATATACCATATAAAATACGGTCAGACTGCAGTGGAGGGGTCTTACCATAGATGTCTGGTTTGGTCTTCATGCTGTCATCTTTCCTGCTTTTATCTGAAACCACAGAAGAAATAAGATGTGTTACTGTGATGTATTTTCATATTTTATCTCCTCATTATTCATCTTTGTTTTGTTCTAGTCTTTCTGTTTGAGTGGAGGGGTGGAACAGCAGGTGGCAGTATCAACACTGCTTTAAATAAAACAGAACAACAACACTCATTGTCATCATTCATTTCTACAGCTTTTAGTTATTTTTAATGAGTTACATCATATTCCTGTCATTTCCATTCAGGTTTTTTTATGTTCTATTTTAAAGTGTGCACAATTAATAGGTGCGAGGGAGTATATTAATGTACAGGGTATATGCAGGAATCCTGAGGTTAATTTCAATACCTTTTAAGACTTTTTTAAGACCTTCCAAAAAAACCTTAAGATCTCATCGCCACTTCAAGCTGTCGTTAGCAGCAACGCATCTATAACTTACTAAACAGTTGTAGTTTGCAATTAAATCTATGGAGCACAAACATACAACAGAACTCAGATAAGATGAGAAGGAATAAAGCTTGAAAGAATAAATTAAACCAAAGGCAGGTTTATTAAAATACACCTTAGGTCATAACAAGTAACACAGCTCTACAGCTCAACATCAGCTATTCAAGGCCAACTTGCTGAAAACAACAACCTTATGGCTAGCCCCTTGCATGTGGGATTTAGGGCTGACCCAAAAAATTCAAAGCTTCGAAGCTTCGTTCGATGGCACGGGATTCGATTGTGAAAAAAAAAAAATTGAATATTCAGCCTTTTTTTTCCTCCAGTTTTTTGGGGGGGACATTGAACGCAACACTAATCATGCCGTCCGTTTACGGTTGTTTTTTTCCCCTTTAGCCATATGTAAACTCAAAGAACGAGAAGCAATGTCTGTAAGGCATATAAGATTTCATGTTCCAGTTCCAGTTTGTGTTTTTAATTGATTGATTGTTTTTGGTTGGTTGACAAATAAAGGCCGGCCCCATTAGGCCGAGTAAAGAAGTCATGTGGTCTGATTGTTTCATGAATTGCCTAAAAAAGTTTCACAGTAAATCAGAGAACAGGGATATTATTATTGCCACGGGTTATTTGAAATGGACAAAGGTATTCTTTACTGGTGAGTTAAGGGAGAATAGCTATCATGTAATTAAAAAAGAAAACATCTCCGACAAGGAAATAGAAAGTCCAACGTGCAATGAATGGAGACCTATTATCCTGCTTGAACACAGCCAACTAAATTCTTTGAACAATGTGACTCAAAATAATGATAAAATAGATTTTATTGATGTAAAATAATATGCTGACGGTGACATGCTGAGTCTGGTGTCAGTGACACATGCTGCTCTGAGTCGCACATCTGTCTGCTTGCGCTGCAGTGCGCTGAGGGTTTTAATTTTTAGTGTTAAATCAAAAGTTAAACACTACTTATCAGCAACCAGAAGTGTTTCTTCGTTTGTGAATATTTTTATCTTAATTCTAGAGTTGCAAGAAACTACACTACACTAAGTGTAGACAAGTCAGAACCATACAGTTCCTTCCTAAATAATGTTAGTGCTTTCAGAGTCCTGGGCACATTGCCAGTGGTGCTCAACTTTGGAGAGGACGTGACTGTAGATGAATTGGTCCAAAACCAAGGTGAATGGCACATATCTTGCTATGTCAAATTCAGCAAAGAGAAGCTGCAGAGAGCTACCAAAAAGACTTCTGATGTATTTTAAAATGGTATAGTCGTATTCCTTGACCCTGAAAATGTATGATTAGACACCAACATTTTGATCCTAAGTGGCTTAGAAGCTGAGAAAATGGTAGATATAGGTTTTTATATGGCGGCCAACTTCAAAATCCAAGATGGCCGCCATAATGTAAAATGGAAAGCTATGGGTATGGACAGCATTTGGAGAAAATATGGCACTTTTGTCCAGCGCCACCTGACTATATGCCCCACCCACACACATTATCATTGATTAATTAATTGGTACTGGTTATGTATATTATTGTGGCGTATTTATCATAAATACAGTGCATCTGATGCTCCTTTTGTTTCTGTTTTTCACCGTTTCATCACAACTACAAATGCAACTGTAGCCAGTATCTCACTATCACTATCCTCATTCATATTTTAAGAAGCTACAAATTATTTTCAGTCACAAATTGAACCTGAAAAGCCGCAAATCAGAACAGAAGTACAGAGTTGTTGCATAGCGACGATACACCATCTCATCTAGTTGCATTGGTGTAACAAATAAGTTAGATGTTGAAAAATACCGACCTTATATTTTGATTGCACACTGTCTAAAAAGATAGAAACACTAAACAATAAAGAAAAACAAATCTGGTAAAACAACACTACTGGGCTACACAGTTAATGGACAGAATAGTTTTTAAACTGGGGGCTGAAATAATACTATGAACTGTGGGAGCAGAATGGCAAAGCTGATCCAGCTGTTTGCTTTAGTCTCCTAACACCCTCCTTACAAATGGCTCAGCTGATGTCTTCACATGTAAGGGTTGGGTTTAGAACTCCTGGTGTAAACCACACTGACCTTTTGGACACAGCAGCCAGTTGTAGGTGTTTGTCATCTCAGTTCCTTCAGCCTGAGAGGGACAGAGGTGGGAAGACAGAACAGCTAAGTTTATTTCATTTCATGATCACAAACAAACAAATATTGGTTATAGACAAATATTTTTGTTGTCACTTTGTTACAGCTCCTACCTTTACTATGAGAGACTGTGTGACCACGTCAATACGACCTCTGTCTGGCACGCTCACAATCTCATTGTTACATAAAGTCTGGGATGCCACAGCCTCAGCACGCACCGTCACATTCACAACCCCTAAAAAAAAAAATTCTGGAGACTTGGCACTGCTGTAGTTGAGATAAGCAAGAAGGCAGTTGGACAATGATTCCACATAGTGTATAAAATAAAAAGTTAGTGCTAGTGTTTTATCTTTGCTGTGTGTTTTTATATATTGCTGTGTTGCTTTATCTTGCAGGTTTTTATTGTGCTTAACTTGACAGTTTTTATTTGCATGCTTTTATTTTATCATCACTGGGATGCTGTGATTTTACTTCCTGCTGTTAGTGCCAGATACCTGCACCTGGTAGAAAAGTCTCTTACAGATTGACAAGGCGGCCACCCAACCAGACAAGACAACTACAACCAATGAAGTGATGGAGAGGAGGGCCTTTAGCAACGAAAATATGGAAAGAAATAAGTCAAGGTGTGATGGACCGGGGGAGAGAACAGCCTGAGAGGACGGCTCAAGAGGCAGCACCAAAAATGGAGCAGAGGAAGCTGAAGGGAAGCAGCATGAGAGAAAGGCAGCGAGGCAAGATGACACAATGTCGGAAACAGTTTGACTTATTTCCACCCAGCCGACAGCCTGGCCGTGGAGAACGGTCCCTAACTGCAGGGAGAATGGAGCAGGCTTCCCCGGAGGTCCACCGCTTAACCCGGTCCGTCTCCTCCGCCACACTTTGACTTATTTCCACCCTGCCGACAGTGGGACTTATATATTCATTGTGCTGACAGTGGCTTGGAAAACCACCCATAACTGTGTCACATGGGGAAGAGGGAAGAGGGAAGGCGGCTGGAGTTCCTCCAACATTTGCGGTTAGATTATCATATTTTTTTATTGACAAAAATATAGGCTATTTTTTACAGTTCGCACACACCTATTTTTAGTCGCAAATGCAAGTNACAGAGGGATGTCGTATGCTGTAAAGCCCTGTGAAGCAAATTGTGATTTGTGATATTGGGCTTTATAAATAAAATTGATTGATTGATTGATTGATAACAAGTAACACAGCTCTACAGCCCAACATCAGCTATTCAAGGCCAGCTTGCTGAAAACAACAACCTTATGGCTAGCCCCTTGCATGTGGGATTTAGAGCTGACCCAAAAAATTCGAAGCTTCGAAGCTTTGTTCGATGGCATGGGATTCGATTGTGAAAATATAAATAAATAAAAAAATAGAATATTCGGCCTTTTTTTCTCTCGTTTTTTGGTGGGATCTTGAACGCAACACTAATCATGCTGTCCGTTTACGGTTGTTTTTCCCCCCTTTAGCCATATGTAAACTCAAAGAACAAGAAGCAATGTCTGTTAGGCATATAAGATTTCATGTTCCAGTTCCAGTTTGTGTTTTTAATTGATTGATTGTATTTGGTTGGTTATTAAAAAAGAAAACATCTCCGACAAGGAAACAGAAAGCCCGACGTGCAATGAATGGAGACCTATTATCCTGCTTGAACACAGACAGCTAAATTATTTCAACAATGTGACTCAAAATAATGATAAAATAGATTTTATTGATGTAAAATAATATGCTGATGGTGACATTTTCCACCGGTCCGCTGCGCTCTGAGTCTGGTGTCAGTGACACATGCTGCTCTGAGTTGCGCATCTGTCTGCTTGCGTTGCAGTGCGCCGAGGGTTTTAAATTTTAGTGTTAAATCAAACACTAAACACCACTTATCAGCAACCAGAAGTGCTTTTTCGTATGTGAATATTTTTATCTTAATTCTAGGGTTGTAAGAAACTACCCTTTCACCATAATTTTTAAGTTAATAACTTTTTTGGACTTTTTTTTTCGCTCAGCCCCCAGCCCGAGTGGCAGTCCGAGTGTGTCTACCTACACATCGTTGTTTGTAATAGTCGCGAGGAGGAAAATAAATTATACATTCATGGATACTTTTTGTCAAAGCTTGAATGCCAAGAAAATGTAATACTTCATAAAATCGTGATTAAGACTTTTTAATACTTTTAAAGAGCCTTAATTTTCCGACATTTGATTTATCAACTTTTAATACTTTTTAAGACCCCGCGGACACCCTGATATAACAGTGACAGAAACAGCGATAAAGTATCCAGCCTATGAAGACATAAGAAAAAATAAACAAATGAATAAATCATTCAGGAGTGAGAAATCCATGTCAACTTGTATTAAAGATGATCAAAAATCATGACTTATTGTCTCTACTTACACACATATATATATATATATATATATATACAGTACAGG